CGACGCTCTTCTCGTTTTCCAAAATAGAGGGTAATGGCCATGAATCTTCTCAATCGCGTTACTTTGACATTCGCATGACAATCACTTAGACCGACGTCATAGTCGGCGACGGACCAAGCGACATCGCTTGTCCATCGCTTGCCAATCGCTCTCGGTCGAGCGATTGGCAAGCGATTGCGCAATCGCTTGCAAAGTGCACAAGCGACGGGCGATTGGCCCCGCCCCCAGTCAATGCAGTCGGCTGCGGTATCGATCGAGCAGAGCCATTGCCCGTCGCTTGTGCACTTTGCAAGCGATTGCGCAATCGCTTGCCAATCGCTCGACCCCGTCGCCGACTATGACGTCGGTCTTATAAAAACATCGAGCAAGCGGAGGCGAATCTGGCCCACTCTTCACAGATACGCGCCAAATAGTGAGTAAGTCCGCCACATCACCCCATAACCAAAACCGAAACGATTTTCGAAAAACCGGATTGCCTCTCCCCCGATACGCCACCAACCATCTCACACAACACAAAAAGAACATCAAAAGAGAAAAAATGATACACCAGACAACATAAAGTCCACGAAAATCAAAATACACGACAGATACTAAAAATAAACCAAAGCTGAACTGAGAAACCAGCGGCAATATTGAAGAAGAGCATATCAAGACATCGAGGAGTAGTGAAGAAGACGAAGCACATCAAAAAAGGCTAAAACCAGATGCCCACCTCTCGATAAAACCGCTGTCCAATCACTCCTGCCCTAACCTACCGCAGAAGACTTGACTCTGGCGCAAGGCAGGACGGCCATAAACGGTCAGCGTATCCCCCAACGCGACTGTCGAGCAGAACCACAATGCTAAAGGACCGTATACAAACCAACAAGTGCAGAAAGGGATCCGGAATGAAAAGAACTACGCCAAAAGATCGAAGATCAAGAAGCGACGATGACACAGTTATTACGCCAAGGAATACGAAAGATAAAAAGAGGAACGAACCAGGAAAAACACCAGTCATCGCGATTTTGCGCTCACGCGTTGGACCAAGCGGTAACCCAACAGACTAGAATCCCTCAGAGACAATCACGAACAAAAAACAACAAGAGACCCACAAAAACAAGCCGCCCGATGGTCAGACTATCTTCACGAAAACCTCATAAGAACAAGAAAGAGAAATACGAAAAAGAAATCGCTGTCCCTCCAACAAAGAGAAGGATCCACTGACCCACTCTCCAACACAACGACAACCCGGACGAAATGAAGACCTATGCTGCGCCGCTCAGCCATCCAACGAGCAAATCGACGATCCATGGGCGACAGGTGAACAGAGTGATGGCAATCACTCTCCGAGCAAATGGTATTTAATACATAAGTTGTCCCTGTCTGTTAGCAAACTAGACTCTTAAGAGTGCAGCAGTGATGAAACAACAAAGAGAAGCTACCCTTAAAACAGCAAAACGGGGTCTTTGCTCCTCCACTTCCGCTTTGTCAGTAACTGTTATGACCAATGCTGACATCATCCGCTTAAACTCTGTGATCTGTCTCTCTGCTAAAGCGCTAGTCCGATGGAGAGGAACCAGCAGCGGGGCATAGACCCCGCCACAACCGCATCTGGAACGGACGACAACGAAGGAGGACGACTGGTCCCCAAACGGGAATGGAACACTTTTGCTAGGCTGCTGTGTGCGCGCCGCAACTGCTTAACCTCCTTTTTTGGACCACAGAATTCCTCCGCAGTTACAGTCTCCAGCAACCCTCCCATCGTGCAACCTGCCTTTAATTGGCCCCCCTTATCCACAAAAATGATAAGCAACGACTACGGCTGTGTTAAGTTCACTTCTGTCGATGTCGGCTGGGCCATATTTACTGGATAAGGTGGACTGAGACGTAAAGCTGGACTAATTGTGGAAACTATTGGTTGTCTCATAATTCCTGTCTCAATTTTGACACTTTTATTTATTCAAGTTTTATCTCTTCTAGGAAGCAACTGATCAGCAGCATAACCACCATCATGGTCACTGATCCTCATGCATTTGCTAGGGAACCTTTGGAAGCTTTCCGCCCAAGAATGAAGAAAGCTGGGGGCCGAAGAATTTGGGGAAGTCGTTTTTGGGGTTGTCGTATTCCCTTCATCTATACATACAGTACCGTGCAGTGAAGTATTCGTTTTCACTTTTTTAAACGTAATTTCCTCAAAACTCAAGCTTTCGCAGTAAAACTTCGACAGCAGTTGACACACACAGGTAGTCATATTATAGCAGCGTATCGGTGCGATAGCCTCCTTTCAAGGGGAAATGGAGCTTCATTTTCGAGTATTGTCCGCGGGCACCCAATTTCATTGTTGATAAACGATGAGTTTCCATGTTGAGAGCACGTGTGTTTTTGATGTTTTGTGTCAGTTTCATATGCCTACACAGTACTCAGAACATTCCAAGACATTAGGGAATTCATAGCTTGTGGCAGGACCAGGTGACGCCATCTTTCGGAGGTTCTACGAAGGCTTAACATCCCAGCAGATTTTTGAAGTTCAAGGAGCCCCAGTGGACGACTTGGAAGAAATTCAAGAGCATTGAACCTGCCAAAGTCAAAAAGCGCCCAGAAGTAGCAAAAATGACCTCTTCTCTCGCCAATAGAATCATTGTGCGACTTGTAAGGAGTGGCTCGCATCACGCTGCACCCGAAATTCACCGCGGATTCTCAACGCCAGACGGTCTAAATCCGTCCGAAGACAACGTGCGACGTTGTCTGAGAGATGCTGGGCACTTCTGACGTAGCTCAGTAAGAAACCGCTGATTCCCCCTCAAGAGTGGCAGAGCGCATCTCAATTAGGCTCATGCCCACAAGAAACGGACTATTAAGGAGTGACAAAAAGCCATCTAGAGCAACGAATCGAAGTTTTTGCTGTTTAGCACGAAAGAAGTCAAGTTTTTGCGACTTCCCGTTGGTACCAGATATCATCCGAGGTTCCATGTGCTGACGTGACGAATGCAGGGGGTGCGGTGATACTGCATGGCAGCTTCTGTGGCATAGGGGTTGATCACCTTCATCGGACCGAGGCTGAAATGGATTCCAAAACGCGCCTCAACATATGGATGACTGCTATCTGGCCGCATGCTCGCAGTGTCGCCCGTAGTGTTTCATTTTCCGACCCCAAGCGCAAAATCAAAGCCGCTCTCGCAATGGTTCCGCAACAACAATGTTCCTCCACTGCCATGCCATCGCAGTCCCCATACTTGAATCAGAGCAAAAATCTGTAGGATGATTTTCGGAGTCAAGCTGAAGGCCCAAAAGCTCACAACGAGTTCGAAAAGTCCGTCCCACTGAAGATCGCGTAGGGGAACCTCTACCAAGAAAAAACCCAATTCCGTGCTTCGCCGGTGTCAAGCCGTCGTAGATGAAAACGGTTCTGCGACAAAGTGCTGATGTTGTAGTTGTTACGTCTGTTATTATATAAGTCATTTTGTTATTATTTTTGAATTTTAGATAGATTGAATTTCGAACAAGTAATATGGTATTGGACCGAAAAAAATTAAAAATTTCTAAATTAGTATAGAAGCCACCTAGACAACTGAAGATTTGCTTCCTTATCAGGTAGAGTGATGTGTTCTCACCTACAAAAAATCGGAACAAAAGCTTGAGTTTTGAGGGAGTTACGTTTAAAAAAGTGAAAACGAATACTTCACTGCACGGTACTGTATGTTGTTTCCGAAGACAAGGGAAGCGACCTAGTTCGAGAGCGAGTGGCAGCTAATACTGGTGGACGTTTGCCGTGGCCACAGCTATCTCCCCATAACAGGGGTCGTGTTTGCATTAGTCTCAGGGGGACAGAGTCAACCCTGCGTTGCGCAGTTCGCAACGGCACGTTGAGAGATCCTCAACGCACGCTGTATGGGCGGAGACACAGACGGCTCGAGCATGCGAGTGTGAATGTTCGCGCGAGAGAACGTGTCTAATCGGGCGAAACTGCGCAACGTGGCCGTTGAAAACTGCGCAACGCAGGGTTGACTCTGCTCGGGTTCATTCGACGAAGGAGTTCTGAGACGGATTCTGACGGTAACCTCCCCACCGGAGGCCACCTAGAGTGCACTCTAGCTGACTTTCGCAATGCTTGTCTCAATTACAGTGAATTGGTTTCCCAAACCAGGCCACTCAGCGAATACAACAAACCGAGAGTAAATATTCTCAGAATGCGGAGTTCGGGCTTGGTTGAGCTGGTGCTTCCTGGCTGCGAGGTAGCCATCAGAGTGCCGCCGCGTTGTTGTCGCAGTGGACTCGTGACTCATATCCACTGGTGACCGATTAGGGAAGGCTCTGCTTGTGCCGTCGCAGAATGAATTTCCCCAGGATGATCAAGCGTGCTTCTCGCTCATGGTCGGCCGGACCATATGGTTTCCATCAAAACTTCATTCTGCAGCAGTCCTTTCCATACTGATGGCCATGTGCTGGTGCATCGGCTGCGCTCAGGTATCTGCTACAATACCTTGGTAGCAACGTGCGGAGGCACTCCCAATTTAGGGTGCAAGGGGCGCTCATCAAAAATGACCGCAGGCCCAGTATAAGGTGGTTTTCACAGCCCGTTTCACCTTTACCGTTGGGATTGGACTACTAGCTCAGTACCCTATTCAGTGGCGGATACTAGGTCGAACACAACGCTGATCTTCTCTGCTGTCCTCCTTGCAATAGTGTTCATTTGAGGATCGTAGAGCATAATAATTGATTATTGTCACTGACCTATTTTTATTCCTAGTTAATTAATCCGTAACGAGCTTGCTCTTCTGAAACCGCGTTGTTAAGGCTCTTGAAAGCATACTCCAACATATTATGTATTTCGCAGTGAAACGGTCTTAGACAGAAGAAATTTGAATTTGAATAGAAATGAGACAGTAATTATGAGACAACCCAATAATAGCTTGTGATGAGTAAGGATCTCCTGCCTTGGATACAACAGCCCGAAACATTTCAAACACAAAGTTAATTAAACTACCTGGTATGCTGCCCCTCAGCCGGATATGTTAAGTCTAAATGATTCTTTGTAGATATCCCCTTACGGTGGTGAAGTCCTTGATATCGGCCAATAAAACCGTAGTTTTGACAACTGAAAAATGGAAATTAATGCGGCAGAGATAGAAAAGCAAGAAAAAAGAAAAGAAAAAACATAAGCAAGAAAAAAGAAATGGAAAATCGCCGACTTTCCAGCGATCAACATTTCTGAAGCGATTGGAAAGAAACTTCGAGGCAATTGTCCGAATCCTTTAGAGGAGTTTTAAAGGAGGGAGGAGGTGGGGGGGATATTTCATCAGGCGTTTATGATAAAACAATGAATTTACACGGTAAATGCATCTAAGCTACACCGCACTGAATGAATCACAGCAATGAAAGGAGCCATCGGGCAGCTAGCTGCCTTGTGCACAGAATCGCATCTTATCCATATTGCCAGCCTTCCATCTTATCGTAACTGAAACGACTAGCACTTACTCTACAGCTACTAAAATTACTGGACCCCAATGCATTGTAGCTAGGGGCAGGGTCAGGCACGGTGACAAGGCGATTTTAGGTGAGGTCTACTAAAGGGAGAGTTCACGATGAAGAGGCATCCATTTAGAAATTAAGGTAGAGGCGATCAGTGATGTATGGATGAAGAAAAAACCACGAAAACGGAAAAAAACGGGCGTAGAATCCAAAAAAAAGGACCCTTTTTCGCCGGGGGGGGGGGGGAGACGGCGTTGATTTGCGCGCTAAGCGTGTCTCATCGATGCCGATCTCACCATTGCGAGCGCTCTCTCTCTACTGGAGCAGGAGCCAAACGGCGAGGGTGGAAAGCAGAGTCAACCCTGCGTTGCGCAGTTCTCAACGGCCACGTTGCGCAGTTTCGCCCGATTAGACACGTTCTCTCGCGCGAACATTCACACTCGCATGCTCGAGCCGTCTGTGTCTCCGCCCATACAGCGTGCGTTGAGGATCTCTCAACGTGCCGTTGCGAACTGCGCAACGCAGGGTTGACTCTGGTGGAAGCGCCGCGAGTATGGCCTGCTAGGCCATTGAGAGCATACCCTTTGCTGCAGAACGCGCATCGTCCCACACCCTTACGGTTAGAGAACCCGCCAGGGGTTCCCCGATTTGGTACGTTTCCACTTCTTCGACCTCCGACCTTATTTGTGAACTCTTCCTTAACACCACCTTCCCACAATCACCTCAGTCTACGCCGTATCAAATTCTAGAAATGCGCCAGAATCACTAATATATCATACATCCTTCTAAATCACGTTTCGATTCCGTGAACGGAGCTAGAAATCATCGTCGGCGCTCATGTCGGTAGGGGTGACATCGAAGTGTGTAAATCACACTTATATTGGGTCGGAGTATAATATAGCGCTCGCATTCGGCAAAAACGTTTCAAAGCAAAACCCAAAAGCAAAGCCAAGCATAAAACTGATCAGTGATGTTCTTCTCGTCATTATTTACGACTTTGGTTCCATTTCGCAAGAAATTACCGGTTTAGAAATCAAAAAAGGGTAGTGAGCCCGTTTTTAGAATCCTCATTATTCTCAATTTGTACGACGTGAATATGATTTGAAATTAAGGGTCGACTGGAGTAAGGTTCGATGATGACGATGGATTCCGAAAAACTCCATTTTGGCAGCTTTTTTCTCTATATAGATTTTCGCCCACCTTGATTCTCCAACTTCTAAGCGCCATATCTGAGTACACTTACAAGAAATAAACGTAGAAAACGGCCGAACCGTGTGGAGCAGAAGAAGTACTTTCAAATGGTATATGTGATTTCCTGAGTAATACTTGTATTCACTGAATTCGTAGCTCGAAAAGAAAAACGCTGCGATATTATGCTCCAACCCAATAGAACTCGGAACTGAGCCTCAAGGAGGAAAAGGGATCTGGTGAAGGACGCGAGCAACCTTGCTTTCCCTGGCATTTCTCTCCTTTTCTGAGCTTAGCCCTAGTAGTACCAAGCCGCTTTTGAAGGCCCTGTTTTGGATACCTTTGCTAAAGACATGAGCGCCTCGTCGTCTCGATAAATCAGTTAGAGAGCAACATGCGCACAACTACGCAGAAATTGATTTGATAACTCACCGTTTCCATACCCAACTCCAGCCGCTTTTAGTATTTCACCGATATTTTTGAGTGACTGATGAGCCTGCTCCTTGATGCCTTGCTTCAACTCTCCGGTCTTAGGGTCTAATCCCAGAGAGCCGCTAACGTAGATAGTATTATCGACTCGGACGGCTTGGCTGAAAGTTTTTCAAATATATAAAATCTGGAATTTCTGCAGGCAAAATAAATGGCTGATTCATGGTCAGCCCAACAAAACTCAAACTGAACACTTGAATTAAGATAGATTCAAATTCAGCGTCATGCACTCGAAGAAAGTTCCTCGACGGGACTCGTTCTGGTAATGCTAGCGTTGAAGAGTGCGTTTTCGATGGCTCCACAGAAAAACTCACCGGCAACGCGGACGCGGGCGCGTGCTTGTGAGCGGCAAGAATGAGCAAGGGACGACGAGTAAAAAGACTCTTTTGTACGTTGAATGGGTTCCAATTTCAACGAGGGATTCACGATAAGAACGTGGTCAAAGAAGGGAAAATTGCATAGTTGGGAGACAGGCGGACCTCCTGAGGGTGCTGACCGACGCGCAATTGGCAGCGAAAGATTTGACCTCGGCGATCTAGCATGGCTCACTCTTGGCGCGGTTGGCGGGGTACGCCCACCGACTATCTAATCACTCGCCGCAGGTCTATACGTGGCGAGTGATTAGATAGCAGAGAGAGCGTAGTGTTGAAGAGGGCACAACGATGAGAGTCGCATCAGGAAAAATGGTTCCATTTCTGGGTTTCGGACCGTTTCAAATGGTTTCTTCTTCATCACTACTCCACTGATCACCTCTACCTAATTTCCAGTGAGCCAACTTTTCATCATAAATTCTGCCTTTAATCCACGTTAGCACTGGGGTGCGCAGATGGGAAGGTATCTGGGAGCATTTGTCGTACTCCATATGCGGCCTTTAAAGGCAAAGTTCGGGCTCAGACCCACCTAAGAAGCCCTTACCATGGCTAGAAGTGCTGGGTACGCAAGTGCAAAGGTAGCGCCACCTTTCTACATCGAAACGCGTCACTAGGACCCTAGGCGCCATGGACTTCTAACAGACTCCACCAAACTTAACATGGTCCGCCCACCGTTCGATATCTTGTCTGCGTCGCTGCGTTGATCTGCTATGCTCTCTCTTCTCGGACTTCTCTACCACTCTCCGCGCTCACATTATCTCTCATCTCCCTGCCTGTCTTTTGAACTTCTCCACAGCATGGAGCAAAATGCTCGTATTTCCTGTGTATTTCAGGATTTTCTTTCCTTTTTTCCTACTTCCACTAAGTTATGACGTAGGAGTGGCATTC